AAAACATGACCGTTACTGTTGGTGATGGTGGCAGCAACGGCACCGCCTCTTCACCAACTGCTGCAACAGTGAATTTTAAAGCCAAGGATACCAACGGCTGGAAAGATTACAAGAAACTTAAAACCTACCTGATCCTAAAGGACCAGCAACATGAGAAGGTATGGCATGGCAGGCTTCTATTTCCCTTCCCCTCATAAAAAAGATATTAATCAAGTTACTTTAAATATTGGGATATGGGCGAGAATTTCGCAATTGATTGTTGCAAAATATTATCATTGCTGTATTTTTTATATGCACTATTGAGTGCTTTTTATTTGCTTTGCAAAATATTGTAAGTACGCTACGTTCTGTAAATTAATTACGTATTCAATATTGACTTACATACTATGTGGTTTAAAAAGATAAAGTAAATAGTAAAAAGATAAAACGAAACTAACAATTCTATTGACAAATATGCAGGGCAGATAAATTTCCGGGTAGCTCTGTACACATATACATATGTACATATATACATACAGTCAGGTAAAAAGAAATATTAGCAATACATATAGTACATATTAAACGAATAGTTCCAATAATTGATTGAAGTTGATTTTATTTTTGCAGAAAGTTTTTAATTATACTTAATTCTTGTAAGAAAAGAATTTAACTCCAAATAAAAGGGAAAATATTAGCAATATAGTACATACTTGTATTAAAGAAATAGCTTCAATGATTGATTGAAATTGATTTTATTATTACTTCTTGTAAGAAAAGTATTTAAATCAGTGCCATATATTTGTTCCAATAAATTCATTAATTCAACATACTTATTTAAAACAATGAAACTTTGGTTTAAGAAATTATAATATTTATTTATTATTATGGTTCAATGTTCTAAAGCCTACATTTTTATTAACTGTCAGACATCGGAGTGGCATAGAATCGACAAATTTTGTCAGTATTTTTGTCATATCTTTAGTGGCTGGCTGGAAAGCTCCTCAGGGAATCGATCCAATTGAAGCAGACTAGTGATTGAGCTGTTTCAAAGCAAGTCTAGCTAGTATTTTGCAGTTAAAACATCTAATGATTCAACTTTTTTAAATCAAGTATACCTAGTATTTTGCAACTAAAACATTTTGTTGATAACAATCATAAACATCATTCATTTCTAGAGATCAACATTCTAGCCATATTTTAAGACCAGCTTTCAAGTATTTAATTATCTTTTAGTCCCTATTTTAAAAACTACAACTTTTTAGTTTATAGTTTCTTATATTTTATCGGCCCATCAAAACTTATTATTAGTTTTATATAATTTGTTGCTTCATGAGTTTAGTAGTGTTGTTACGTTGGAGATCTCCATCATTTACTTTCATCCTTTGTTAACAACCGAAAAAAAGCTCGAGCTTTCACTTCTTGTGTTTTTTCTGGTCATTGTGTCAAACAACATACAAATTAAGAACACCAACTGCCTTCTCATTTGAGAACTGGATAAACTGAAGCTTGTCTCTAGTCTTCATACACATTTAAAACAAGTGTCTTCTTATTTGATAACTAGATCTAGAACTAAAGGTCAATACTTTTCAGTCTTCACTACTGAGCTACATATCTGCTTCTCAAGCCATTTTCCAACACTTCATTGAATACAACCATTTAAAGCTATTTTCTAACACTGCAATTCTTACCGACTGTTTAGTTCCGGACCGAGAATTTTACTCGTGTTACTCCATCAACAATTTTTGATGGCTGTGAATTCTCGCCACTTCATTAGTAAAAGATTTCATGCGCTTATCCATTATAACTTTAAAAATGTAATTTTGCTAATCAGAAACCATGGTAATTGAAGAGGAAATAGTACAGTAAAGTTTGAAAATATAAAAGATAACAAATTAATGAACTGGTAAGGTCTGTTTTGGAAAATTACAATATATCGAGCAGAATTTAGTGTAGTGGCATATTTAAAGTTAAAGGGAAATTAAGCAGTAGTGCCTGAATTACTTCTTGCGAATTTCATCAGCTTTTTGAGCGTCTCTAATTAACCCGCACAACTCTTGTAATAAACACAATTGTATGTTGCTAAAGATTTTTATAACAAAAGGTCAGGTAACGAAGGCAAAACACAAACATAAATACATATTTATTTATTTTATCGATCCGATCTGAAAGGAAAACAGCGCACACATTCCGTCAATCAAAGAAGTCCGAATAAAATGTTTTTTGGGTCAGTAAGTAATCGAATACAATTCATCTTTGTTTACAAAATATACATATACAATATGTACGTTTCCATTCTTGCCATCTTTGGGAGAATCATGTATGTTTTTATACTTTTGTGTCAATGACAGAAGCAATGCTAATGCATTTAACATTTAAACAACAGTCGTCGTATTACTTATTGGTTTCTATGAATAGAGTAGAATACAGAGCTGACAATAAGATACTTTTCGCAAGGCAATTTAACAATCGCTCGCCAACTCCATCAACCGCAACAAAAGCAAAAATTGTTCATACTTTATAATTAACAAGTAACAAAAAACGAAACAAAAGTTGTGAAAAAAACTTCTTCATCAAAAGTTATTAAACGGTCATGACCCCCATTTTCAAAATGCTTATCAACAACATGAAAAAAAAGAAACAACAACAAGAATCGTTTGTTAGAGCAGGGGGAATGGAGGCGGCGTCGGCGGCGGCAATATGAAACGAGCAAACATGAAAAACGAGCATTAAAAATGTTCAAAATGACGAACTCGTTCCAAAAGCCGGCTGACAGTCGTTCTGACGGCTCTGACGCTTTTTTTTTGTTATTATTTTTTTTTGCCGTGGACTTGGACAGAGAGGCAGACAACAACATTCACAGAAGCCAACGACGCGACGAATCAGACAGTGACGCCGATGCCGATGCCGACGACGACGACGCGGACGCCGACGACACCATTTGACCGACCGCCCCTCGTTAGATCAATAAATATGGATGACATGACGTTGTCCAGATTGTATATTATTGTAGACATTGTACTGTGAAATGCACACATATGGCGCGCTCTGTATCCATGGACTCGTCCGGTGACTGACAGTCGACCGTCGGCAATTGTGTAATAAAAATGCGCGCCTATCAATGTCAAAAAATCTGACACACAATGAAATAAGAAAAGTAAACAAACAATTAAATTGCTTAGTGCCTAATAAAATAAATGAATGCGGCTTGCGTGTTTGCGTTCACCAGATATTACTGGAAAGTATACAGTCTGTTTGTTTAGATACGTTATGTCTACACTCAATTGGCACAGATACAAATTGAAGCGGCTACACACAAGAAGAAGAAAATCCGTATTTATACTTCATACATACATATAAACAACGGATACATTTGTCTGAGTATGTACTCCTATGTAAAATGGTTTTTGTTGCTGATGTTGGGTTGCCATTTAAACCTGATTTATGACTAATATTTATATAAGTAGTATAGGCATCCCAAATACGTTTTGTATTGTTCACACTCTACTGGAATGTGTTAATTGAAACATCTTAGTTGCTTCCAAATAAGTAAACACCGGGCTTCTTAGAAAAAAAAAAACTTCCACTTCTTTAAGCACAACATTTCTTAACCTTGGTAAAGTTGTACTCGTTGAATAGATAGGCCCTAATAAATATCTCAAATTTATTTATTTGTTATATGTATGTCGACTGTCGTCATAAGGAAATAATATGAAAGTTATAAAAGTTCCGAGTAGAATCTATTGAAATTACAATAATATATAATAAAGGCATCCGACTCGGTGGGGAAACATTATTTGGCTTCCGGCTAGCTATGTCCCGACTCACAGCCAAATGTGGTCAAAAGATATACCAAAAATTAGTTTAAAGTTAGTTTTTACAAGTATGTACAAGAAAAAAGGGAAGAAATAGAATCTCAGACCCGATGAGGGAAGATTTATTTATCAGTCCCGTCTCTGAAAATAGAGTCTTTTATCAAGGGAAGGAACACAGATACCAGGAGATTCAGTACATAGTTACCTCATTTATTTAATTTCTCGTCAAATATAATTGTATATTGGATGACGAAGCATCATAATTTAAAATACATATTTCAGACTTCAATTTGGGGAAAACTTTCCCTTCCAACTTTCAATTGTTAAAACTTAGAAACAAACTTAACTTTCTGTAAGCTTTAAGGGGTAAGAGTTTAAAAAAAAATGTAGAACAGTTTTTGGAAGATATCACAGACTTTATGTAATCACACGCATTTGATTAGCATGCAATTAAATAAATTGATTGGACAACTCATATTAACTATAAACATGTGAGCTTCAATATATTTCGAAATAACACAAAATTCAATTACCCGTATTAAATTAGTTCCGATATGTGTAGCCAGAAAATGAACAAAGTTTGGGTAGATGGCCTTCTTTCGTAAACTAGATTACACTCGAACGATGCCAATATACATATTTTGAATTCATTACATTTGTATAAACATACATATATATTAATTAATTTTGGCTACTTCCTGGGAGCATTAACACAGCAGCTGAGTAAGCGTTTTGCATAAATTAAACAAATAAAAGAAAACAAAAGTCGGCTTATCTACATAGCCGAGATGTTCAATTTTGTTTACCAACAACAGATTGTTGAATTCGCAACGATTTCCAGCGCCCGTTAATCACATCAGATAAATGGCGAGCATCAAATTAATTATCACTAATTGTATAAATTATGACTTGGATATGGAATTAATTTGGCATGAAATACATGTCACGATTGCCATTGTGCCACGATTTGCATTCTTGGCTGACTACTGGCAGGGACAGGTATTTTCCACCAAATAGATTGAATATTCGGCTGGCGATATGCTAATTTATCAAATCGTGCAATAATAATCAGAATTCCCATTAAAGTTACAGTTAAGCAGTGGGCCAAAGCCAATCAAGCCAGCTATGCTTGTGCCAAACATACCCAATTAGCTGATTTGTGTTGCAGACAGTTTAGTTTCATGATTTCCAATTACGATTTAATTTCAGGCGTCGCACACACCGGAAGCGGAGCGCTCCTATACCCTGCGCAAGCGGCCCGTGCCGGTGACAGAGCGGACGACATTCGTCTGCTATACCTGCGGCTGTGATACGCCGTCCTCACAGCTGAGGCTCGTCTATTGCTGTCCAAATGCGGAACGGGAGCCCTACTATCCCTTCATCAAGACAATGAAGGTCTACAAAAACGCTAGTCCAATTAGTCCTCAGGGTAAATATCAGACAGCAGTAACACTTGTCCAATCAATCTAATGCTTGCCCCGTTGCTTCCAGGTATGGTGCAAGTCTGTGCGAACTGCAACGAGAAACATGCCAATTTGGCCGAAGGCGGTGTGCCGGCTGCTCCACTCTCCAACGCCGTGGTCGGATCTCCGGGTGCACCGCATCATCTGGACTCTGGTTCGACGTACGGTGCCGGCGGAGTTGTAGTCAGTGTCGGTGGCAATGGAGTGAACAATGCAACCACATTCGCCGGGCACAATACGCCATCAGAAAAGTCACTCGCCAATTCAGATTCTACGAGCAATGTGCGCTTTAAGGTGAGCTGGATGGTGAATCTTGATTGTAAGACTAAAGCTAATATAAAATAGACTTCAGGTAATAAAATAAATAGGCATTCACAATTATCAGCGCAACAGTTTCTTGTTGTCAGATTTGTGCGAGCTACAAATAGAATGCATTAGATGAGTAAACAGTCCAGTCGTAGATTTGCTTATCAATATACAAATTTGCTCGAAACTGACTTCCGTCGGAAAAGACTGCATTCATAAGGCACATCTATCAGTTTTCCTATAGAAAACATTTACATACACGCACATCTTCCGATGAATATTCGTTTTTCATACTATGGTGTGTTTGTATTTATTGTACTGTCGTCCATAGAGGAGCTGTCATTGTCGTATCTGTAGAAATGCGCAAACATGGAAATTTACTAGCCGTAGATTGCGGGCACAAATACTTGTAATTTTATATACAAAACATATAGGAAAAGTGATTACAAATATAATATTGTATAAAAATAAATATAAGAATACAACACTCAAGCGCTCAGGCGCACAAGCTGTTCGACCCGCCGGACCCGAGCGGGCCAACGTGGCTAATGGGAGCAGTAGCGCTGCAGCGATAACATTTCGACATTTCGGCCGATTAACAGCACCAGAGAATGTGCCCCATTGATAACACTACGAACCCGCGTGGCAATAAAGGTGACGAGTGCGGCAACTACTACGTCGGCTTCTACATATACGAGTATATACTATAACATCGAAACTGTTCGACCAAGCAGCAATAAATCGCCTCACCGAATAAATAGATAGATAGACAGATAGATAGTTTCTATAGATACGATTAATATATTAAATTAGTGACATAAACGGGATTGGCTGTTGGGGATTGGTTGTGATAGTGAAGTAATTGGAATTGCGCGATTATGGTTACTTCATGTGTGTGCTGAAGGCCGTCCCAATATCAATTATCCATTGGCATGTCGTGGATTATAGCGAAACGTTTCGTGATGATAGTGGGCTTGTACATTTGAACTTTTATGGTGATATGTATGTGAGTGTGTGTGTGTGTGTGTTCATTAGTTTGCATGCGTTGCTTATCAGCGTCATTGGGGTTGGAGCCGCAAAGCCAGCAAGCCGAGTGTCAACATGTTAACAAATTTAAGTCAACAAATGTCAAGATAAGATATGCATGAAAGCAACGTCGCACCCCTCCGCCCCCCCCTTCCACACACCATTCCAGTGGTCGGAACGACGATGAGCTTAGCTCTCTGTGCCATTTCAGGTAATGCCACGACAAATGTGAAACAAGTTCCATATTGTGTTTAATTACTGTTGAAAATTTGTAGAGTTGTTCGTACGTAGGGTAGGTTGTAGGTGCATTTATATTTACTGTTTTGTCTTTTTATAGTATTTTATTTATTTTCAACAAACAAGAGGCATTAACAAATAATAATAAAAAAAAAAACAAAGCGCCCACAACTGGCAGAGCGAGGCAACTGTAGCGAAAATAAATACCATAACAGTACAAATAACAATAAAAATTATAACAAAACAAAAATGAATTTATTAAACAAATAATAACAACGAATATAATAGAAAGTGTGTAAACTTTGCCTGATCACTCATATTTGCACTCACCTAACCCCTTCCCCATTAACACATTTAGCCGTGAACCGGTTTTTCCTCCATCTGGATTTTATTTCTGTCGCACAAGTGGCCTTTGGAATTTGATAACAATGTCAGCAAGATAGAGTAAATTATTAAAAATATTTCAAAAATCGACAAATCTCTTTCGCTAATAGGTGTGGCCGTTTCCGAGCTAAATTCTGATCGCTAGTTTCAAGTGATTTTAATATTTGAAATCCCAAATGGAATAATTAAAAATGGTTAACATTTCTGCATTTTAACGTTTAAATTTTTTTTTACTTTGCGAGTAAATTTGTTGCAAACTTTTAAAGCTGAAAAATGTTATTTTATTATTTCAAATTCAAATTAAGAGCACAACACCAATACGGAGTATTTTATACCAACAATCTAATCAACGACTATATCTCGGTTTTTTAAAAATCACTTTCAACATACTTTAATTAATTTTGAATATTTTTTAAGGGTTCTCACGTCTTTATTCAACTAAATACATTTTTGCAGTATTTAAACAACATTGAACTGGTCTAAGATAATTTACCTAGGAACTCTCTAATTAAAATACCAGAATATCCAGCCAGATGCCAGACCTTGGCTGAGTTTAACGACTTGTTTATACACATTGCACTCTTACGTACAAATGTGTATATAACTGTTGTTATTTGCGCTCTAAACAATAAAACAAAATATTTTATTTTCACTTCTTGAATAGCTGGTACTTTTGTGTTTGGTTACTTTTGTCACTGCCTCTTATTTTTGGCTAACCAAAGTCGTCTGTTTGCACCCCGTGTCTTACTTAACAATGTCTTTGGCAAATAATTGCATAGCTGAGTTAATTTTATCTTTGAACAGGTGCCCTACGCCGACCCAAAAATCCACACAAATAGAGAAATGAATATGACGTCAAGGTCCGTTCTAGATCTAACGTAATACATACGTACTTGATCCACTTTCATTCCGAGTATAAAAATGTAAAACTATTCACTTCTGGAGCTTTTCTGCGCGCTATTTAATTATTTATTTATTTTATTTTGTTTTGAAATTGCGTCACAAAATTGTACTATTAGTACATCTGTGTCGTCGCAGCTTTAAACAAATATTAACAATATTTATTTGCATGTGCTTCTTTGATTAATTTTTTTGCTTTAGAGCTAATAAGTTCTGTCCATAATTAAGATTTTCGAATTTTTATATGCTCGTAATAAAGATTAAGCTGTACGCGAACATTAAACTTATAAGTTTAACATACTATATTTATCAATCGTCATTCATAATACTATGTAATTACGTTGCGGTTACTACAAGCGACGTCGAATTGGTAGTGAGTGTTAAATCATCGCTGATAACATTATCTATCAGGCGAACAGTATTGTGGTAAGCGGGATAGAACTAGAAAAAAAAACAAAAAACAAAAAACGGCAAGCGATTAGAAAAATTTGCGCACTCGTATTTTATTGTTGACTGGCGTTGTTCTTCAAGCGGCTTATATTGGAAGTCGGCTCCATGATAAATGTACACGACGCAAATTGGTTTAAACCGGTTGCGATTCCGTTTAACCATTGCGGATATGTTCCATCAAGAACCAACACTTGAAAGGTACTTCTTGAGTGGGAAATCAATTGTACGAAATATTTGACAAAAGTTGATTAGATAAGTTGCTGCATATGTATTGTGGACTTTATAATTGTAAGAGTCAGTCGGCGCACTAAAATAGTTTGTGTATAACATTCCTGAGAGTGCCGTCGAGTGAAAAGAATTGCAAACGTTTTATTAAATATTTTGTTTATTTTTTTATTGCAGCCCTACGAGTCGAATTCAAACAACTCCAATTCAAATACCGCCCGAGACTTAAAGCAAATAAGACGCACCGACTCTAGACCCAGCTCGCCAACCTCTACGCAGGGTCCCATCGAAAACGGCCATGGACAATATCCGTAAGCATAAGCTCTGCATTTCGCGTATGCGAATCGAAGCTCTTAAAGACTTTTTCCCGTTTTTATTTTGCAGTTGTTCCATTTGCAAAGTGCTTTGTGCGTCCAACAAAATGGAATGGCTTTCCACGAGTGCCGAGCACATGAACTCCCATGCGATGCATTTTCCTTGCCTAAAAGCCAGCAACAACAGCAACGGAGTAAGCAACAACAACAACAACAATAACGAACTGAATAGCAATCGTGTACTGGCCTGTAAGGACTGCGTCAATTACTTGGCGCGTCAGTGGGAGACAATGGACGCGGAACGTGTACCTTTGGAGCACAGAAGGTTTCTGCCATCAACTTCTCATTAAATAAATGCTAATATATGCATTTCTTACAGATACAACATTCCATCGCCCATGATGTCCTCAAGCTCACCGAATGGATCTCGACACGGCGCCATGAGTATAAACACTCCGCCCTCAACTCCGTCAATATCATCATCAACGGCTGCTAGTACTTCAATATATTGTTTTTTATGTGGCTTGCACTCAGATTTAACTCTGGCCAGAATCCTCTATGGCAGCAAAGAGGTATATAGAATACATAATGAAAAGAAATCATATTTTAAACCGTAAAGAAATCAGAATACTATCCAGTTGCCATGGTTTATAAAACACCACTTACTTAAATGTAATTCTCATCAGTTGAACCGCACTACATTAATGTAAAATAGGTGTTTCTTCCATCTTCGGAAATTACAACTAATCTTGTAAAATTTTAAAGTTAAATACTTTAGACTTTTCGCAAAAACTAGGTTTTTGTTCAAAGGATCGAAACACAGTCGTTAATTTAATGACACTCGAAAAGATTTTACTATGTAGATTATAAAACTGAAATTACTCTTTAATACCTTTTAGACATGATAGACGAATTTCCAAATGCTAAAAAGTACCAGTACTGTCTTCTTAATAGCCACCAGTTGACTGTTCTACATAATTTCTTCAAACTATAACTTATTTGAATATTGAAAAATGGCATTTAAAAAGATTTTATAATATACAGATTATAAAACTTTTATACCCTTGAAGCACAGTAGATCGATTTCTACGTAAAGAAATACTCACCTTTAATTATCCCCCATTAATGCATAGGTCGACTGTTATAAGCAATTTAGTCAACTGATTTTTATTGAGTTTTAGACTATACATTGGATATTACTCAAAACTAATGATAAAATATCTTGGTTATACGATTCTTTCTGGTAACTATCAACTTTTCTGTAGAGTATGAAAGTTTTAAGTCAAATTTTATATTAGGACGATTTATTTCTTTTAACTTCTGTAATTAAAATACGTTTTGCGAAAAGTGAAACTAAACTTTATCACAGAATCTGCTTCTATTCAATAATTGAAGAATTAACTTCGTATTGTCTGCATGTTTTTTTTTTTGAAGAAATCTAAACAATATTATAATTTTGGTATTAGCGTAAAATTTTCACGGGCTAAATTTTGAAACTGTAAAAAAATTGTATTATAATATGCATTTAATAATTATAACGCTGTTATTATAAAGCCACCATAAGTTAATGTTTGTGAATTCCATCATGTAAATAAGAAAATTGAACAGATTCTTTAATTTTTTTGGTAGAATTACATTTGTTCAAAGGAATTTACATGCATTAAATCATGATGAATGAATCAAAAACTGAAATTCAAAACAATTATAATTAGGTCAAGATTATTAAATTAGTTAGTAACTTGTAAAGCGTTATGATGTAGAGTATTAAAGTAGGTAAGAAACAGTCTTGTTTCTAAACAAAATAGTCACTGGTGCAATGTGTGCTTTTTGATATTCAGTGATTAGTTAAAAAACTGTAATCGGTGGAAGATATAGAAAGTTTGTAAATACCAATCGATGGTAATTGATTGCAAATCTATTTTTAAACTAAAAGGTGTAAAATTAGGAAAATAGGAAATATTGTTTGAGAATACTTTGGTAGGCACTAATTTATTTTGCCAAATTTCAAATTTCTTACAATTCTTATGAACTTGAACTTACATAAATTATATGGCAGGATCAGTGCATAAGCAATGAAAAAGCAATAGCAAAAGAAGTGATAACTAAATAATGCGGGATTATCAATCAATTAGAATATTTTCTTCACATTCGACAAAACAAGAAATGAAATGCTAAATAATTATCAACATTTGATCGAAAGACAATTTGAAATGGCAATTGTTTTGAATTGTAAATGTTCACAAATGTTTAATATAGTAATATTATATATTTCACTATAATTTAATAATATCAAAATTTTTAATCAATTGCAGGGCTCAAGGCCATACTTCCCATTGTTGTTAAAGCACAACTCCCTACCAAATGCTGAGCAGCTTAGGAACAATTCTGCGTTGGTGTGCACTTTCTGCTATCATTCCATGTTGAACCAATGGCGAAAGTAAGATAAATACTTATTATTTCGCTGCCATAAACAATTATTAATTAAATGTGCAATATTTTAGATATGAAGCCCAGAGTCCAAGTCTGAGTCCAGCGGACAGAAAGTACAACTGGCATGATTACATTTGTCACCTTTGTGGCATAACAACATACAGAAAACGGGTTCGGGCGTTACCTGTGAACGAGTTTCCATTTGTAAAGAATCGAAAGAATGACGACGGTCTTCTCTTGGAGAATGGCGAGTATGCCGTTGTGTGCTTGGATTGCTATGAAAGCTTAAGGTAGATACGACCAACTATTTCCAGTGGATAAGTGAAATTGAACGTTTTATGGATTTACAGACAACAAGCTTCGCAACACGATCGCTTTGGAGTACCCATTTCTAGGCGGGCCTATAATTGGGTGCCCCAACCACCACCTCCGGAAGATAGCCCCGACGCTGCTGTGGCCAGACTTCCCTGTGGTGAACGCTCTGATAGAATTGTAAGTCCTTTATAAAACAATTAAAACCTTCAAAGTTATTTATGTACATTTCTTACTGCTTCAGCTTATAAGCAACGCTCTCAGGCCCATTCCAAGCAAAAAGACAACTTCGCCGAAGCAGTACGATAAGTCAAAAGAAGGTAAGTGACTTTTTAGTTTTTTAGTTGCTGCTTCAGAACCTGAGCCATTTGTCAGGTGCACGTAATACAAAACCATTTTAAAGCGTCCCCAGGTGACGAGTTCAAGTGAAACCAAACTCGCAGCAATAAATATCAATTGGTTTCACTTAACATTGTTCGCCCCCACAGATTTCTGTTGTGGGGGTCCGAAAGTCGAAAGACAAAGCAAGATTATTGCCCTCGGCCAGACCGTACAGAGACCCAATTCCCTTACTTATTGTTGTCCCTCATTATTTCTTGCGGGGTCGATAGTTCACATGCATTTCTGTGGAATCGGCTTGTGGACATTTTTTAGCACTCATTTTGTGTTTATGTTTATTTTAAAACTTGTTTGTGGGTTGTGTTGATAATTGTAAAACAAATTGTGGATGGGCTTTCTTTTTTAATATTTTTGTTTCACATAAAGTACACATAAGGACTGTGAGACGTGATGACTACTCTATAGGACCATGTCTGTCCGAATGTATGAACCCAAGAATCTTGAAAACTATGAGAGCAGAAGGCTCAAAACTTGTTATGCTGGTTTCCTAGGTTGATATACGTATTCCATTTTCCTAGCAAAACCTATATTAACGTATATATTAAAGAATATAAATATTTTAATGATTACAATTATAAAATATTAATATAAGTATTTGCAAGAAAGACGTTTTCGCACACCACTTCTTGCCTTCCCTAATACATTTTATTTCTTATGTTAAAATAAATTGTATTGCATATTTGCAAAACAAAATTAATTCTACTGATTTAAGTCACATTGTTCAGATTCTTCAGGAAGTTAGCAAGAGCTTAAGTCCTAGTAACAAGAATCGACAAAGAATATGTAATTAAAAAAGTTGTTCAAAAAATATTTTAATTGAACAACATTGCAATTGCTCTGCATAATAAAAATAAATGCAACTTTTGTCGACAAATTGGAAGCACTAATTGCATTTCTTTTCAATTTAGTTGCGAATAACTCGATTTGAATAAGAAATCAATTGATTAAATGCCCAATAACAGGCAAAAATCAGCTCAACCTAGAAGGGGGAGGAGATGGCCATTTATAAGTAAATAAGTATGCAATACAACAAGCTCTGAATGTAACAAGAGAGAACGCTACAGTCGAGCAAGCCCGACAGTGTAATACCCTGTACCCAGGTAAACTTCCGCCACTGAGTTATATGCGCCCAAAGCAGCAAAAAGAGGAAGAAGAAGAGCGAACTTGTTGCTGCAGTTTGGGGGGGTTGTACTGGCGAGAATTTGTTTCGCTAATAACTTTTCTTAGAATTGACCGAATAGAATAAAATTTTGAACAACAGTAGACAATTATATAGAAATTATGTGTGCAAAGTTTGGTTTAGGTAGCATTTGAAATGTGGACGCTATTGACGAAATTCTGTAGCGGGGGAAGGGGGGGAAAATTCAAAAAAATAAAATAAACTCGTCCTTTCTCGGACCTAGGAGAATCTGGATGCCAACTTTGGTTATTCTAGCTTTTATAGTTTCTGAGATCCTCGCGTTCATCCAGACGGACAGACGGACAGACGGACAGACGGACGGACGGACATGTCTAGATCGATTTCTCTCGTCATGCTGATTCAGAATATATATACTTTATGGGGTCGGAGATGCTTCCTTCTGTATGTTACATACTTTGCACAAACCTAATATACCCTTTTTACCCTACGGGTACAGGGTATAATAAATATTGATTTTTTATGAATTGCAAAGAGCGCTATTTGTGGGAGGTGGGAAGGGGGCGGAGAAGAGGAGGAGGGGTATTTTGGGTGACCATGTTTCACTCATTTATGCACACCCATTGATATCACAGGAGCAGCGACGGCGGTAAACTTCTTCAATAAAATGCCAAAAAGGAAACATCATAAAAATAAATAAACGGAGAAACCGCATGCACACAAACACACACACACAGACACATACACTCGTACATACATATATACTTATATTATACGTCTGTCTGTCATTGTGCACAATTTTTTACGCACCTACCCACAAGGAAAGTGCCGCCCACCCATGGCCAAATATACAACATTGCTACATACATACAAATGCCACATCCGACGTCAAGCCAAAAAGCAGCAACACCAACAACAACGGCAACAATAACAAGAGGCAAAACGAGCAGAACGAGCAAGCGCAAATAATAAAAGCAACAGCATAAAGTATTTCGAATTGAATTACTCCGTGTTATCCTGTCAACCATACGAAAACACTCAAGACCCATTCAACATGCCACACTCTTCCGCCAAAGCCTCCAAGCCAAGCATACGACCCAACACAGCACAGCACAACACAACCCAGCCCAGACCAGACCAGTTCAAACCAAAACCCAACCCAATCCAACCCAGTATAGCTCAGTTCAACGCCCGCCCACCCGCAACGCTCGTTTGTTAACGTCGACTGCGACGCCCTACAAAAAGAGCCCACCCACCGTTTAAGGAGTTCGCATCGATTTGCAAAAGTATATTACCCCGGCCCAAGTTTTCTTCAGCTTCTTACCCGGCTTACGCTTGGTGGGTGGCTGTGGGCACGGGATGTGGGGTGTGGGCGGGTGTAGAGGTAGACAGTGGGACTGAAAGTTCTTGGAGAAGGTGCCAAGTGGCAGTGGCAGCGGCAGCGTCGGCTGCCTCTTTTGGCCGGCTGCGTTGCCAATAAAATAAAGTTATGTTGGGGTGGGGTGGGAGACGGGCAAATGTTTCTATATGGCATGGTGCCAAGGGGTGGAGTGAGCCGTAGTGAGCCGGAGTGGGGGGATAGCTTGAATAAGTAAACATAAAACCACTGAATTTACGCTTATTGCACCCGCAAACATTTTGTTTAACAGAGCAACAACAACAGGAACAACAACTGCAGCCACCACCATCACCATTCCGTGCTCACCCGTGACAGCACACGCCGGTTCATTCATTCTCTCTTCCCTTCTCTTTCTCTCTCACTCTCTCTCTCTCACATAGTCTCGAAGGCAGACGTGCTCGTACTCTCGTGCTCAGACGACGGTGCTTGTGCTCTCGCATGGCCGTGCGGTGATATCAGTGTGTTGTGGGTTATATGGCTCTGCGCCCGTTTCGTGCCATTTCCGGCCTCAATTTCAAAAGAAGCTCAAATTTCCACACAATTTTCCGGCTTCGCTCTTGGCACTTTTATATATCGTTGCTTGCTCGCTCATGGCTGCTCAGTATTACCAACACCATCTTGTGTCGCCTCCGCCCCTTTATGTTCCACCACTGACAGTCGTTTCCCGTTCGCACTTGTTCAGTCACTCACTTCGGCCTAGCCCCCCCCCCTACACAGGCCCCCCATCTGGCCGCAATGCTTTACAAAAGGGCACCCACTGCCTGTCGTCTATTCAAACAGTCGCCTTGGTTGTGCTTTTTGCTTTTGCCCATTTCCTTTCCTCAACGCCCCAACAACGCCACTTGCCACCTTTGCCACAAAAATATTTCAAACACTTGCAACCGCAGTTGCCACCTAGCCTGACCGAACAACCGTCCGTCCGACCGACCGACCATACGACTGCCACACGACAGTTGACGACGCGGACAGACGACGGGACAAGTTAACTGCCTGCTTGGCCCCGGTCATGCCCTCCTCCTCACTCCCCCCCTCCAGCCGCTTCCGCTTTGCGTAGAATAACAGTTACATTATCCTTTTTATTGCCACACTTTCGACGCACACCAGCCGCCACCGTGCTCACAAATATACATTCACACACACACACACCCACAGATACAAACTTATTTGGCATGTGGTTAGTTCTACCCCCATTTCTTCGACTTTATTGTGGCATGACTTGGTGGGGGAAGGGGATACCCAGACGTCGACGACTACGGTGTCCGGAATTGTGGCAAAAAATGTGCATTTATTTTTTGAAGTTTTGTTGTTTGCGTTAACTCGAGTCGCTGTAAATTGTGGTGAACACGAAGCCAAGTGTTTGGAGCATTTACTAAGTTATGCACCACAGTGCGCACTGTGGGCCACATTTGCATAATTGACAAGCATAATTTGATGTTATGCTGTTGTTTAAATGGACCCACAAACACTTGCAATGTCAAATTCAGCCAAATTAGGAAGGCAGGAGCTAATAGGCCATATTCAAATTTTTACATAAATACTGTTCTAGTAAATTATTGCATGGGTTTTCATGAACATTAAAATGATATTATTGGGCAGACCCGTTAATTAATTATTTCCTTTTTAAATGTGCAAAAAACATTTTAAAAAAAGTACTGAACCGGCTTACATTTGGGATCTGGATATCTGTTCTGATTTTTACATAAATACTGTTCTAGTAAATTATTGCATGGGTTTTCATAAAGATTAAAATGATATTATAGTTGGGCAGACCCGTTAATTAATTATTTCCTTTTTAAATGTGGAAAAATACATTTAAAAAAAAGTACTGAACCGGCTTACATTTGGGATCTGGATTTCTGTTCTGATTTTTACATAAATACTGTTCTAGTAAATTATTGCATGGGTTTTCATAAACATTAAAATGATATTATAGTTGGGCAGACCCGTTAATTAATTATTTCCTTTTTAAATGTGGAAAAATACATTTAAAAAAAAGTACTGAACCGGCTTACATTTGGGATCTGGATTTCTGTTCTGATTTTTACATAAATACTGTTCTAGTAAATTATTGCATGGGTTTTCATAAACATTAAAATGATATTATAGTTGGGCAGACCCGTTAATTAATTATTTCCTTTTTAAATGTGGAAAAATACATTTAAAAAAAAGTACTGAACCGGCTTACATTTGGGATCTGGATTTCTGTTCTGATTTTTACATAAATACTGTTCTAGTAAATTATTGCATGGGTTTTCATAAACATTAAAATGATATTATAGTTGGGCAGACCCGTTAATTAATTATTTCCTTTTTAAATGTGGAAAAAAACATTTAAAAAAAGTACTGAACCGGCTTACATTTGGGATCTGGATTTTTGTTCCCAG